CCACATAAGTTACTTCAGGATACTTTTCAAAATTACTTTAAAAATCTATCATTTGGATCTGATTATGTCATGTATTTTGAAGGAAGCATGCTATTCTGTGCGTTGAAGACTATAATCAGTGAAGGTTTCTCATCTTGAATTTAAAATCTTAAGAGTAATTTTCAAGTAACAAAGCATTAATTGGTTTCAGTCTCTGCCAGTGCACTGTTGTTTATAATATCAGTTATTATTATAATAAACTTACAATACTAAATGATGAATGAAAACTGTAAAAACCATGATTGCATATTATAGCTTGGTTTACTAGTGCTCTGTTATCTGTAGAATTCTCTATTTCAGTGCTTTGGATTTCTCTGGAGATTCCAACTGGCTGGAAGTATCTAAAAAGCATCAATTCAGTGGTTCCAACTGAAGTTCCCTTAAAACTGGACAAAAATGTTTGTATCTGGGCACTAATGGAAACATTAATTTGGGATACAAATAGCAAATCACTTTGAGAATAAGACCATACAGAGAACTCCAGGGAATCCCATGGTGTAGAGTTTAACATTTTGTGAAGTATAAGACATATTTATATAAGGAATAAAGAAATGCTATTATTTTGATTATTTCCCCTCCTTCTTATAAAATACTAGATTGTCCTTTACCCATATCCACTATACATCTGTACTAATTGGTTTAAAAGCCAATTGGGGTTTTTAATTTTTGAAAGAGATTTGCTTTCCTTAAGAGAGAAAGCAACTGTGCATGGTGATTCATGCCTGAGATCATAGCTGCTCAGGAGGTGGAGATTGGAATGATTGTGGTTTGAGGCTAGCCCAGGCAGACAGTTAGTGAGATTCTATCTCAACCAATAAAAAACTGGGTATAGTAGTGCTTGTCTGTCATCCCAGCTAGGCAGGAAGCATAAATAGGAGAAGTGTGATCCAGGCAGACCCAGGCATAAGTGAGACCCTATTCAAAATATATTGAAAACAAAAGGGGGCAGCAGTGTGGCTCAAGTGGTAGATCACCTGCCTGGCAAGGCAAGTGCAGAGGTCTGAGTTTAAACACAATACTGAGGAGAGAAAGAGAGAGGGAGAGGAAGAGGAGAGAGAGGAGAGGGGAGAGGACAGAGGGGAGAGGGGAGAGGGGAGAGGGAGAGGGAAGAGGGAAAGGGAGAGGGAGAAGGAGAGGAAGGAAGAAGGAGAAGGAGAAAGAAGGAAGAAAAAGAAGAAAAAAGAGAGACACAGAGAGAGAGACACAGAGAGAGAGAATACAAGAATATAAGAATGAATGAATCTTAAAGTAGGCCAAAGAAATAAAAGAAATAAAATGAAAAATCTATGGCAATTCACTTGTTTTCTTTTTTCTTTGCTTTAACTGTAGCCTAAACTGCATATAATTTACTATCTTAGCTATTTAAAGTGTACAATGAAATAATATTAACAATAAGCACATTGCTGTGGGATAGGTCTCGAACATTTTCATGTTGAAAACTGATTGTATCCATTGAGCAACTCCCCATTTCCCCCTTCTACCAGCACCTGGCATCTATCATTGTAGGAATTTGACTATGTAGCCACCTCATGTAGAATCATGCAGTATCTGCGTTTTTGTGCTGCCTTATTTCATTTACCGTAATATCTTCAAAGTTCATGTAGCATATGGCACAGTATGCTTTTGTTTATTACTCATTTATCATGAATTATTAATATGGGGAATTTCATTGAGATAATTCCATAAGAATGCTTCTTTTAAAGGCTATATTTATATGCCACATTTTCCTTATCAATTTATCCACTGATGGACAATTTGATTTTTGTGGACAGTGAGTGTGCACATATCTCAGATCCTTTCAGTTTTTAGGGAAAACCCTGGTTTTGAATATCTGCTACCCAGGCTGCACATAGAAGCTGGGTTTTAAACCCAAGAATGAGTATGTGAGAAAACTGAATAGTAGGTAGCTTAACCAAAGTCCCCTCTAAATGTATCTTGGAGGATTTTTTTTAAGTCTGTGTTTTGAAATTTGAATTGCAGGGTTCTGCAGGAGACATTACCAGCTTTATTTTTAATGTTTTCTATTTCTTGAATGCCTTCTTTAGGAGTTGTTTTATTTATTATTTGTGATTTATTGGTTTCATTTGAAAATTTATAATTATGCATGGGTCCTAGTGTTGTACAGGGATCTTGTGGTTACTTTGGAAAATATTTGGTTGTAATGCAGTTTAACAGTGTAAACATAGCTGTAATACACACTGGAAGTGTGTTCATATGTATAGAACTGGCTGAGACCCAGACACCATAACATCATGATCACTTTGTCCCTTACTTATCACTTCCTTTGTCACTTTCCACCTTTTCTGTTTCTTAGTGAAGAAAGCTTTCCTTAGCAACCTTGGCTACATATTGGAATCAAACGAGGGAACTTTTAGAAAAAAAATAGTGATGATTGATTCCTGCCCACAGAGATTTTAATTTAATTAGTTTATGTGAGGTGGCCTGGATCTGGGATTTTTTTTTACCACTTTAAAATAATTTCACAAGCCATAGGAAGTTTAAAAAATATAGAGAAGTATATTTTCCCTTCACCCAGTTGTCCCAATGATTACCTTTTACATAATTCAGCACAGTATCAAAACCAGGAAGCTGACATTGGTACCATGAATGTGCATAGTTCCATGCCATTTTACCATATACTTTCATCTCAAAGCCACCACACTCAAGATACATACCTGTTCCAATACCACAAAAGTATACTTTGTGCCTCCTATTTTTCAGTCACAACTTGCCTCCTTCCCTCTGTAATCTGGTACTCATTAATCTATTTTCAATGCACAAGTTTGTCATTTCAAGAATTTTATAAATTAAGTCACACATAGTTTTTGAAATTAGCTTGAAATTCAGGATAACAACATTAAAATCAATCCAAATTTGTGTATGTGTCAGTTACTTACTGTTTATGACAATAATTTTCCATGATATGGATGTATCAATTTAGTTAAGTGTTTTCCTAATAAAGGACATTTTGATGGTTTTCAATTTAGAGCAATTAAAAATAAGGTAGACTTATATGTATTTAATGCAATTATCAATAGGGCTTAATTCTCCCAAGCTTTTGGGTTTTTTGTTTCCTCTTCCTACTTTTCATTTCTGTTTTCATTTTCCTGAGTTTCAGGGGGTTATCTGACATTTGTTAAGATTCCATTTTGATATGTATAGTATTTTTGATTTTCAGTATACAGTTTTCAGTGGTTGCCCTAAGTGTTATATTATATATGCATCATTTATCATAAACCGTTGGTATCATATTGAGTACAGTGTAGAAATCTGGTCTTCTTGCAGTCCTTTTACCTTCACCCACTTATAGTTGTCTTAATAGATATAGATTAGTACTTCTTTAATTTAGGATTTCATCTTTCATTAGCCATTATTCTTTGAATATTATATTTATTCTATCCTTTGGAAATTTTGATTAAGCAAATATTGGACCTATCCATCCTGTCCTTTATGTCTTTTAACCTCTCTTTTTTATTTTTTCCATCTTTTTATCTCTGCCCTGGTATTGGTAATTTTCTGTGATCTTTTTCTTTCAGTCTATTAATTGTCTCTTTAGCTTTATCTGTTCTCTAGTTTGTCCATTGAGTTTTGTTATTTTTAAAGTTTTAATGATATTAGTTTACTTTTGTGGTTATTTTTCCAATCTGTTGATTATTTTTCTTTTGACTTTGTATTCTATGTCTTAATAGTCAAACACATTGGTTTTAACTTTATATTTGATAGTGCTACATTCTGATGTTCTTGGGGATCTAATTTAGTTTGTGTATTTTTGACTCTCACTAAAGTTAGAGGTGTTTCTTAATGTTTTTTCAAATTTTGAATTGTGAGATCATTTTCAACAGGCCTTTTTTCTGGTCTTTAGTTCTATACCTGTGTTGAGAAAATGTTTCCAGAGAAGTTTTGCCAAGAGTCCAAGATTACATGGCCAACATGGAACCAATGTTTTACTTTTTATCTTGAGTTTAAAAATTGCCAAAGGAAACTCTTTGTTGTTATTATCTGAGTCTAGCAGCAGTTGATAGGGTCTCTAGTCTGACTTTTCCGTTAAGGGAATGGCTCTCAGTAGCTTTATGTGAAATGTCTTAGTCTATGCTTTGTGTAGCAGACATCTCTGTGGCCTCATACTCTGTTTCTGAATGAAAACACAAGACCATAGGCTACTGAGATAAATAAACCCTGACCATAACTAATGCTCTGATTATGCCCCAGGGAATTCTCTTTAAAAATTATTACAGTTTTTGCCATACATTTAAAGGATACTTCTTACATTATATTTAGTATACTAAGTGTTTTGTGGTAAAAGGGTTTTTCAGGTTAGCTGGTCTTTCATATTTCCAGAAATTGGAGTCTATTTACTTACCTGTTGATGATAAACTTCCTGAGGGCAGGACCAATGCCAACCTAGTTCACCATTGCTTCCTCATTACCTAGTGCTTAGTAAACACCAGACACTTTATGTTTGTGGAATTTATAAAATGCTATTTATTATAGATCTATTTATAAAAGTAAAAATTGAACTGAACCTAAACGTCTAATGATAGGGAATTAGTTAAATATATTTGCTTAAAAATAAATGATTTTATATGCACTATTTTAGCCATAAAATAATGATTTGGAGGGCTGTGTTATAAGACTTAAAAAAATTTAAGATTAAGTATAGGTGAAAAAATTCAGGATTCAATTTTGAATGTATAATATGGTAACTTTAAAACATGTATAGCAAAAAAAAAATACTGCATAGTAATAACCAACATGCTAAATAGTAACTTATGTTGGAGTAGTCAACTGAGGATTCCTATTTACCCTTTATTTTCCAAATTTCTTATAGTGTGGTCTTATAATTAAAATATTAAGAAAGAAAAAGTATATCGGTGTCCTTGAAAGTTTTTAGATTTAAATACACTAAAAGTTTTCAAAACATAAAAATTTCAGAATTAGTTTTACTATTAAAATATTTGCAGACTTTTATATGAAAACACAGAAAAAGATCTTTCTGATACTCAGCGACATCTTGCTAAGAAAAAGTATGAGCTACAGCTTACTCAGGAGAAAATTATGTGCTTGGATGAAAAAATTGGTGAGTTTTTTTTTCCTGATACTACTTTTATGTTTTCTTAAATATGATAGAAAAACAGACCTAACCGAAAACCTAATTAATCAAAAATATTGGGAAGTGCATTTTTCTTTGATAGTAAAAATTTATGAACTTAGATTTAGGACCATAAATACTTAGTATGACTTAAAATTTGTTAGTAAAAAAATAAGCAAAGTTTTTTTAAATGTATGATGATTACTTTTAAATCTATAATTTTTGTAAATATTGCAGCTTACTCATAGCTGTTGTAATAAAACATAGTGTGTACATATATCTATAACTTTTGGTGGAAAGTGTGCATATGTTTGGGTATATCTTTATAAAGAAAATTACTTTTATAAAATCTACTATTTATGTTTATTAGCACTGATCTATATGAATATATGGTCATAATCTTATTTTAAATATAAGGTACAATTTTGTTAGTACTATGAAAAAAACCTAAAGCAGAGGAAGTATTTTTAACATGTAACATAAGTAGTTCATGTCTGGAATGAGTAATTAGGTAGATGAAATTGCTACTTATTGAGACAAGAAATATTAAAAGAGAAATATAAATGGCAATATTGAAGAACTCAATTTTTTGATTTTTTGAGCCCAAGTAAAGATATAAGGTAAGCAAGTTGGATATAAGCTTGTATTTTAGAAGAGAAATCTAAGCTAATGACACATAATTGGGGCATATCAGCAGCATATAAATGATATTTTAAAACTATGAAATCACCTAGGGAAATAGAGAGAATAAGGAGGAGAGTATTTAGGGCTGGTATTGGGGACTGAGTAAAAAGAAACCAAAGAAGTAGGAAGGAAGTCCAGAAGTGAGTGATATTTTGGAAGGCAAGAGAGCAAAGTGTTTTAAAAGGTGAGAGGACAATCAATAATCAGATACTTTTGAGAAATGAAATAAGAGAATTAAAAAACATTGATAGCATTTGGCACATTGGCAGTTTTGGTAACACTGACCAAAATAAGTTTGAAGGGTTGGATATGGAAGATAGAGTGGGTTTAAGAATGGGAAATGAAGTAGAGGTGAAATAAAGAAGTCACTCAAGCAGTTTGACATTTAAAAGGTAGTAAGAAAATGGTGGTAGCTTGAGTGGGATATGAGGTTTAGGATATTTTTTCAAACTAAAAGATACTAGAACTTTTAAAGAGGTGTATTCATTGATTGCCAGTGGAAACAAGTTCCGATATCAGAACACCCAAAATATGGGTTGACTTAAAGACATTTCTGCCTGTAAAAAGGGCCATGATGCATTCTCAAGTACTGTATGGCATGTGACAATGTGGTATTACCTCACTTAGCACTGTACCCAAATTGCCCTTGTCAGGGATTAACTCCGTGGGCATTACCCTAGAGGGCTGGTCTAACAGAGGTCTCCTTACAGATCTCTAGACCAGTGCTTCTTAAACTCTGTTATGTGTCATAATATCCTGGAAGCTAACAGATCACTGGAGCCAAAGTCCTCAAAGTAGGATAGGACTAGAACTTTTGTATCTTCAACAATTTCCTTACGTCATTTTGATAACCTAGAACCTTTGCTGTAGACAGTGGTTCTCAACCCACATGCATTAGAATCAACATGGGCGGGGGCAGGAAGGGATGTACTTATTAAAACATAAATTGCTGTGTTCACTCCTGAGGGTTTTTGTTTTCTTTGGCTATACCAGTGCTTGAACTCCAGGCCTTACAAGGTTCCAGCTCCAGACTCCTAGAAGTTTTGATTCAGTAGGTCTGAGGTGGTGGTACCCTACAAATAGGCATTTCTCAGGTGATGTTGAAAGTGCTGGTTGAGAAACCGCAACTTTAAAATCAATGTTTTATGCTCCTGTTCTTTAGCTTACATTCTAAAAAGAAAATAAACACCTCTTTTAAAATGGAAAAAAAAATCAATGTTTTATACCAGTCATTCAGGCCTTCAGTATTGACATTGACAGTAGAATTCTAACAAATAGAATCAGACTTCCTGGGATGATTTTTCCCTAGAAGTAAGGAGAAAATCAGAATATTAGAATTCATTAGAATCATCTGAACATGATTTAATTGAACATTTTATTCTGATTTGTTACTTACCAGCTTGACCTATAATAACAATTCTAGGCTAGAGGGAGGGGAGGGAAAATTAAGGTGGTCAAAGGCCACACCCCTTATTCCACCTACTTCATTCCATTGTCTCCTCCCCATCATATATGTAAGTCTCCTTTGAGAAGTTATGATATAGAGCTTTCCTTTGCTATTCTAATTCAAAGGTATTAATTGTGCTTTTACATTTATGAGTCATTTAGAAATTCATGATTCATTATAATTTTTAATCAGTACCAATAAAACCATTGTTTATTTAGGATACAGAGTTGTACTTTTAGTTGTTGAATACAAGAGAATTTACTTTGAAAAGTATTTCTATTTGCTTCAACTGGAGAAAAAGATTTTATTAAATCAACACTTATGTGATTATTTAGATAATTTTACAAGGCAAAGTATTGCCCAGCGAGAAGAAATCGGCATTCTTGGTGCAACACTCAATGATCTGGCTAAGGAAAAGGAATGCCTGCAAGCATGTTTGGATAAAAAATCTGAGAATATTGCATCCCTTGGAGAGAGTTTGGCAATGAAAGTATGTTCTGACAACTGTGGTGGACAAGAAATGTTTAAATATTAAATTGTGGTACTTAAATCTGAATGAAGTAATAGGATTTTCTCAAAGTGTTTTCTAGACAGCTGAAACTTTAAACTATTTTAAGATAGTCTTAGGAAGTATTTAGATTCACTAGCTAATGTTTTTAATTGACTTTCCTTTCGTGAATTAGTGACTGATATTCATTGACAATGATGAATTCAAGTATCAAAATAAAGTAATGAGACTGATTTCCTCTTCAAAACATTTTCAGGTAGTCATCTTGAGAGGCAATGTGTTCATTCCATTCAAACTGCCTTTGTGATTGTGAACTAGTTTTTTTGCACTGTCCTCAGCCTTTGAGACTAGATCTGTGGTGCTGATGCATAAAGCTGGATGATAATTCTACTCCTCATTCTTTGTTAAGTAAAACAAAAACAAAAAGATTTTTCCAAGAAAACATAAAAGATATTAATGCCTTTTTGTAGCTCATGAACTGATTCTGAAGGCAATTCCTAGTTGTTTTCCACAAATGCCTTAAGCAAAGACAGGATCATTGGAATAAGGTCTTGCCCAACTCTCAGGGAACTAATTCATTAATATATTCATACATCCATTCTTTCAACAAATATTTAATGACATGTTAAAAACTGAGGGTGAGTGGGGCTATAGTGTTATAGGGAGAGAGATAAAGATTCTGTTACAATAGAATATGGTAAGTGTTATAAGGATATTATGTCCAATTTGTTATTGGAGTTTGGCAGAAACAAATGAGTCAGCCTGGGTATTGAGTTACAGAGTACGGAGCAGGAAGATCTAGGAAGACCTTCAAGAAATCACATTGCCTGAGCTTCCCTGAAAAAATGACTAGAAATACATCAAAAAAAGAGTTAGGGGAAGAGGACAGTGAGAAAGTTTTCAGATAGGTAGAGTATCTTACTTAAGGGTCCAGTGGCTTTCATGAGAGAATTTTGTGAGACTTCCTGTTAGTTTAGTGTGGCCAGAGAAGAGGTTGGAAAGAAATGGATATGGAGTACAAAAGATGAGATGGGACAGAAAAACAACAAATCACAAAAACACATGTGATGTTGAATATGAACTCTTAGCATCTGTCATCATGGATATAGCAAGTCATTACAAGAATGTAAATGAAATATTATAGTTGAATATTTAAAAACAAATATTCTGGCACTTGTAAATCCATATAAAAGATGGCTTATAAGGAAATGAGAAAGCCTCACAAAGCATACAATGGTGAGGCTTGTATGAAGAGAGCGAAATAGATCTATTAAGGCAGTAACACTGACCAGAAGCACTGTCTGCCTTAGGAGCCACTCAAATAGCTCCTATGCATGAAGTAGGAAATACAGGAAATAGAACAGAATTAGAGAGGAAGATTATTCACATGCTGAATTTGAATTGCCTTTCAGATACGTATATGGAATATTCACAGGCTGTTGGATTTTTAGGTCTGGAGAGAATATTGAAGTTAATAAATGTGGAATCATGAGCATAATTGAAGGAGATAGTAAACACTGTTTTTTTCTTAAATTTCTTTTATTCATATGTGCATACAATGTTTGGGTTATTTCTCCCCCCTTCTCTCTTAGCACTGTCCCTTTGCCCCTCCCTCTCTCCCCACCCCTCACTACCAGGCAGAAACTATTTTGCCCTTATCTCTAATTTTGTGGAAGAGAGAGTATAAGCAATAATAGGAAGGAACAAGGGTTTTTGCTAGTTGAGATAAGGATAGCTATACAGGGAGTTTACTCGTATTGCTTTCCTGCACATATGAGTAAACACTGTTTTTGTTGCTCATTATTTTTGAAATTTTATGATTTTTTAGGTGCAGTTTTGTTTCTCCTTACATTCAAAACATTTTTAATAAGTATAATCTCCTTTTAAAGGAACATTTAAAAACAAAACTTTTGACATTTTTCTGAATCTCATTTCTCTGTGCCATATATAGTATTTCATATTTCCTTCATTCTGCTAACTGTACCAACATTTTCTTTCCTTCACAAAGAATATTGAACTGTAGTTTTATCTCAGAATCAAGAACTTTCAGATTTTTATAAAATTAAGCACGTCCATCCTTTGAAAAGAAAATGATCTGTTAAGACAGTGTTAGAGAATTAAAAGAGATAGTGGTTTCTATAATGACATTTCAGAACTAAACTAACAAATACACTTTAGTGAAAAATAAGGCTGTTTCATAGTCTAATATGGAAATTACAGAAATAAGTTAATTTGGAATGCCTATAATATGGTGAATAAGGTGAAGTTTTTCTGATAACCATAGTTTTAAGAAATGTCCTACTACTTGGTATCAATTAATGTTTAGAAAACTCATTGATTTTTGAGTAAAATTTGTGTAATGTTTTAGTTTCTCTTTTTCTATATATAAACACATTTATTACCATCCCGTCCAGACTGAATTCTAACAGTTAACTTGAATCTATGTCATTGGTTAGATGAACATATTGCAGTGCATGGAATATTAAATTGCTGATGCTGGTAGATTTCAGGAATGGTAGTATTATGATCCTAAAAGAAAAGCAGGCAAAGCGGATATTTTATTGGATTCTATTCAGTAATTTTGCTGTCCTGGATATTTTACAATGTTCCTAGAAAAGTTTACTTTCAGGTGACATATTGAAAAAGGAAAGCCACTTATTGGCTTATAAAGTGTATTTCAAGCCTAACCAAGTAGTGACTTTGAAAGCGTTAGAAGTTCAATCAGGTTTTCACAATTTATCTTTCTAAGATGTATTAAATCATATTTTTAAAAGTTGTGTAAGAATCCCATTTTAGGCAATATTTTTGTGTTTGTCTTTCATGGGCTTGTTCTTAAGGGGGATTAACTTTCTGTTAATGGGTATTTTAAGCGTACTACAGTATGTATTACTGAAGGATGTAGAATCTTTACCATTCTCTCAGAAAGCAGACTGGGAAACTGAAGCTAAAAATATCTGAGAGAGGCACATGAATAAAGGAAGACAGTGCATGCTCAGTGAGAGTTTTAAAAGGACATGTGGGAATAGTATTGAAGCCATTAAGAAATTCAAACCCATTTCAGTCTTGGTTGATTCTACTATTTCTATTCCCATACCATCCCTCTGAAAAGGGAGAATACAAATAGTTCATTTTATTATATTTTTGGCCTTGGCCTAGTGCTTACCTCCTTATCTCAGACCTAAATAATAATATTAATTATTTTTAAAAAGTAAATTCCATCCAAGTAGCTATTTAAAGATGATATTGCTGACTAATATAACTAATATATTTGATCAAAGATATTTTTCTTTTTTCTTTTCTTGGCAATACTAGGATTTGAACTCAAGGTTTCATGCTTATTAGGCACCTTAAGCCTACCCTTCTAGCTATTTTTGCTCTGATTATTTTGGAGATAGGGTTTTACTTTTTGCCCAGGCCCAGCGGGACTAGGATCCTATCTATCTCAGCCCTCCCACATAGCTTGGGACAATAGTCTCAAACCACCACACCCAGCTTTTTTCAGTTGAGATGGGGTCTCACAAACTACCCACCCCCAACCAGGCTGTACTAAAACTGCGATCCTCCTGATCCTAGCCTCCTGCATAGCTTGGGATGAAGTGTGTGCCACTGCACCCAGCTATTGGTTAAAATGGAGTCTCTTGAACTATTTGCCCAGGCTGGATCCTCCTGATGACAGTCTCCCACCTAGCTAGGATTACAGGGCTAAGCCACTGGTACTAAAGCAAAGATATTTTACTTAGGAACTAAATTTAGTTACACACGAGTCACTTCTCTGCATTTTATGACATGAAGAATATAAGGAAGCAAATTGGTCCTATTCGTAGTATGCCAAATCAGTGGTTTACTTTTAAAAACAGGGTGGTTATGAGAGTCTTGTATTGCTGGGTGACTGCATAAATCTTCTAACAAAGTATTTAATATATGATTTTATATCATTACACTTAAGTATAGCCTTTTCTTTAATGAATATAATCAGTTGTTTTTGCCCAGTGTAAATATTCACATTGATTGTAGGCTTTAAAATATAGAAAAGAAGAATAAGACATAAATGGACCAAATGGATTATCAAAGGGGAGAAGGAATTGGCTTTTCGTTTATTTAGTTTTAACAGAATTAATAGTTTTAGATAATTTTTATTTAATATTTATATTACTTTTAAAGGAAAAGACAATTTCAGGCATGAAGAATATCATTGCTGAGATGGAACAGGCATCAAGGTAAATCATTCAACAAATATTTGAGCACTTATTGTAGGCAAAGTACTATATAAGATACAAAGAGAATAAGAAATGGGCTTAGTGTTATATAGAAGGTGATAACTCTTTAATGTTCAAAGGAAGCCTAAGTCTGCATAGGGAGGTAAAGAAAAGAGGATGGTGTTTGCAAAGGAAAATGGAGAAAGGAAATTCAAAGTAGAAAAAAATAGCAAAAAACCACAGATCATGTTTAAGAGCCTCTTGAACTACAAGTAAGTGAGTATTGTTGGAACTGAAGTATAAGTAAAAGAAAAAGCTAAATGGGCTGGAAGAGGCCTGTGTTACAAACAAATGAGTCTTAATTTTAATCTTTTGAGCATTAAAAATCCATTGAAGAGTGTTAAGGAGACTTTTGAATTAGATTATCCAGGCAGAGGAGGTGATGGTAAATTGGGTTTTGGGGATTAGGGGACAGAAGGAGTGAGATGCTTATGGGGGAGGAACTCTAGGAAAGTGCCAGGTTTCCAGGTAGGGAAGAATACTGAATATGACAGCAGTGTGAGCAGAAAGATGATTTTACCTCTGAATTAAAAGAGACTTTGAGACCTTATTGTAGACATGTCCAGTAAGGAGGAGTCTGGAGTGTTAACAGGAGGTAGTAGATGCTAGAGGAAATGATTCTGGAGTCATCTGGGTATAGATGGGGTTAGGAACCATGGGAATGACTGGGATTTCTCTGAGAGATGGGGTAGAAAGAGAAGAATCTGGAGGCTAAGGTTTGAGCCCTGAAAAAATATTAATTTTTAAGGGGGCAGAGGAAGAGGAATCAGCAGAGGAGACTAAACATAACAGTTAGAGGTAGGATGAAGGCCTTTGTATTCTTGAGTGTAAAAAGCATTGAAATATTTAGAAAATCCTTGACTGTTCTGTTTATGTAGACCTTTTCATAACAAAATGATGGCCAAGTAGAGAAACTCTAAGTGCACTGTCTGCTGTATTTAAGCAGTATTCCTATACATTTAACCATGTTTTAAAACTCTTCAAATATTTTCATGCTAACTGTCCTTCTTCTGTCTTGTGAGAATTTGTTATTCTGTTTCAGTAAAATGTCTCTTCTTATGTACTATTTGATTTGTGGAATAGACAGTCTACGGAAGCCCTAATTATGTGTGAACAAGATATTTCCAGAATGCGTCGGCAACTGGATGAAACAAATGATGAGCTGGCTCAAATTGCCAGGGAAAGAGATATCTTGGCTCATGAGAATGACAATCTCCAAGAACAGTTTGGCAAAGCCAAACAAGAAAACCAGGTATGTGTGTTCCTAGAATCTTTTCTTCAAGAAAAAAAAATACATTTCTTCTAAGGCACAGCCCTCATTTCATTTTTGTATAAAACTCAGACATTGAATTAGTCATTTCTTTGCTACTTTTATAGCAGAGTATGTCATTTAATTTCTAAATTAAATTCTCAAACCTAAAGTGTTCAGTATTAAAGAAAAAAAGAATGGGGATATAATAGGAAATACTTCTGTACTGGAGAAATAAATATATGTGAATATTTGAATAAACAAATGAGGGTAAAAAACATCAGAAACATTAAAGAAAAGAGTAGATATAATTGAGGGACTGCTTATTATTCTGTTACAATATAAATGTATGGACTGTTCCACATTTTTTGGTCTTCTTTAGCACTGTGATTCTTTTTAGGAAAATTCCTTTTATAACTATTCCTTCTCTAAGCCCATATATTTCAGTCTAATACATACTTCTCATTTCCAACATTATTTTTACTTGAACATTAAAAAATTCTATTTGGAAAGTATCTTTCCTCCTCAAAATTCTTTAGTCTGCTACTTTGGTATTACTCTCAGCATGTTTAGTTTGCATCATACAAACCTGAATTTAAATATTTTAAATTTACATAAATAGCTATAAAGATTCAAGACTGTTAATTAACAGTCTTTAATAATTATTTAAAAAATTGAGACATAAAAGTATTTTGTTCAAGAATTAATGAATAATGGAATCCTGGAACATAATGTAAAGTGAAGAAAATCTGAATTAAATATGGACTTCACTTAACAGCATATCCATATTGGCTTATTAGTTGTGACAAATGTACTACACTAATGCACAATCCTAATAATAGAGGACAGTAGTGTGGGGCATGTGGGCTCTCTGTACAACCTTTCTATAAATCTAAAACTACTCTAAAATACAGTTTATTTTATAAATTAGTGGATAGCAATAAGCCCAACAGACATGAATTAATAAGTTCTCATTTTATGTACTCTATTTACAACTAGAGCAAATAGGTTAGGTAGGTATAATTTGTATTTATGAAAAGCTAAATATTTACTTATATATTTTTATTGGTTAGGAAATAGAAGCTCATTATAGAAAACCTCTTTTTTAAAGAAAGGAAGAGGGAAAAAATCCCTCATGTCTTTACACATTGTTTTGCTGCCACCAAAACAGCGGGTCAAGTGGTAGAGTGCCTGCTTAGTGAATATGAGGCTCCGAGTTCAAACTCCAGTACCACCAAAAAATAAATAAATAAAAGCAAGCAACATTTAACATACTTTTTACTAGTTTTCATTGCACTTAAAATTTTAATACTATTTTTTACATATGCTTTTTAACGTAACTGGCATAGAAGTTACACCATTTTACACCATGCTTTTTTTCTAAATGAGGAGGCAGTAGAACTGAGTATTTAAGAATCTCACTGCTAGGTTGTACAATCATATGGTTTAACTTTTCTGAATCTCATTTCATAATCTGCAGAAATGGAGAGTGTACCTGGAAAGCACTTACCATAGTGCCCAGCATATTTCTCAACAAATACTGTACGGCTCTTAGCTTACTGTAATATAAGCATGTCCTCGCCTTGTTAAAACTTCATAAACATTTTTGATCATTGGAAGAAAATTGATGATCATATATTTCAGAGAAGTTTTCTCCTTCCTTTGGGTAATAACCCCAAAGTTAGAAGAGGGATCCCTTTGTGGACCACAGCTTAAGAAAAAAATAAAGTAAACAATTTGGGAAATGGAAACCTTAAAATTTTTTATCCTTGATACCATATTTTTAACAAAGTGGGATAATGAGGAATTTTGTGTTCTGGCCTGGTTTTTTTTCACTTAATTATGGATAACATTTTCCTCTACTATTAAAAATTACTCAAAACATTTCTCATAAATGCATAATATTCTACTATATGGTTTTGCCCCTACGCAGATAGTCTGTTATTTACTGCATCATTCCCCTAATGTGACTAAAGACTTTAATCACAACAATGCCTTAATGAGCACTCTCGGTCATTAAATTTGATTAGATTTTATCAAATTGAATCAAAGCTTATGAGGTTTCTTCTTCTTCTTCTTCTTCTTTTTTTTGTATGAATTTTTCTTTGTTTCTGTGGTTCTGGGATTGAACCCAGGGCCTTGCACATGCCTGGTAAGTACTCTACTACTAAACTGCATACCCAGACCCTCTTCTTTAAAAAATTTAAAAAGCATTTAAAATGGAACATATTATTTTTCGAATATAGTAAATTCCCATGTACCTTCTCCCATCCTCAACAATAACCAACATTTTTGTCTTTTGTATGTGTGTGTGTGTGTGTGTGTGTGTGTGTGTGTGTGTATTACTGGGGTTTGAAATCAAGGCTTCATGTTTGCTAGGCAGGTACTCTACCACTTTAGCCATGCCCAGACCTTTTATACTTTTCTTGTTTTTATGAGCATGTAAAAATATTTCTTGATATATCATCATACAGTGGATCACAGTTTAGCTTTTGCAAATATATGTTAGGAATAAAAATTAAATTGAAATGTTCATTCTTTTCATAACTGAAGTTTAAATCTTTACCAATTTAGTAGGCAAAATAGTATTACATTATTTGAATTAGCATATCTTTTTTTCAGTACTGAGGTTTGAACTCAAGGCCTATACCTTGAGCCATTCCACCAATCTTTTTTTGTGTGTGTGTGATGGGTTTTTTTTTTTGAGATAGGGTCTTGTGAACTTTTTACCTGGGCCGGCTTGGAACCTCAAATCCTCCTGATCTCTGCCTCCTGAGTAGCTAGGATTACAGGTGTGAGCCACTGGCACCCAGCTCATAGCTTTGATTGCTAGTAAAGTTTAATTTTTTTCAAGTATTGTCTACTTTTGCTACCTTTTGGCAAATTGTCTTTTGGGTCCTTTGCCTCCATTTACTCCTGAACTTTCATGTTTCCCCACAATTTTTGTGTCACTTTTATATATTAAGTATATTAATTTTATTTATCATGTTTGTTGCAAATATTTAAGCTTATTTTTGGTGTTTTTACATATTTGTATTTTTTATTCATTGTAGTCAAATCTAGCTATCTTTTTTCTATAGGCACTATCCAAAAAATTGAATGATACGCATAATGAACTTAATGACATAAAACAAAAGGTCCAAGACACTAATTTGGAGGTTAACAAGCTGAAAAATATATTAAAGTCTGAAGTACGTATATTTTTTCTCTTTGGTTATGATTCCTAAGAATTTTCACAAGAGTTAATTTAGTAATCACTCACACTTATCAGAACAGGTAAGTCAAGTGTTTCTTTAATATGTAGCATATTTTAGTTTTGATGAGGATGGATTAGCTATATATTTAGAATGCCACCAATGTCCACAAAGGTGAGGCAAGAGTAGGTACCTTTCAGTTTGCTAAACTAACTGCAAACACCCTAGACAAATAGAATCTTTCTTACTGGATCAAGGACAAGGGGCTAGAATTAACTTGTTCTCACTTAATACTTGGAAATGGTGGCGTTTTCGGTTATAAGCCTCTGATAAAATTAACTCTGCCTGATTGTGCAGCAGATCAGAATTGATTACCCTGTTATGGACCATCTGTTTCTTAGAACCAGAGGGCAGATGATTCTCCTTTGCACTTCTCTGTTAGCAACCATTTGACCAGGCATGTGTGTCATCAAATGATTCCAAATGTGGGTGTATATGTGGGAACCCTGGAATAAACAGATGGCTTGACAAAAAAATATTAGATATATCCTTAGGTAAAATATCTAAAATAGTGTAGGTGGATTGATCATTATAAAAGTGTGTGGTGTTACCTACATAGCACTGATACCATCAATGGAAACTTCTCCCCCAAAATTACTTATTTTATTTAGCATATCATTTAATATCAGTCCACAAACCATAGTGTGCATAGGACTGTTAAGGTTTTGAGCGATAAGAGATTCTAAGAACTCGTTAATTGCAGTCTTTGTTTTCAGGCCTTATGTAAGCGAAGCAAGTGGTTTCCTATACATCTTGTTCTTAAGATGTTAGTAATATAATGCCATGATGGACAGAAGCTTCGGAATCAGGAAGACGTGGCACTCTTCCTACTAATGACATGAACTTATGCAGACTGCTCACCCTGAGTTTCCATTTCCCACATTTAATTGGAAAGAATACCCAAGCACATGAGATGAAATATTTAAAATCGTAGCAGAGTGAGTCATCTAAACATACCCGAGAATAGGTCAGAAATAAATAAATGAATGCCCAGAAAGACATTTAATGTAGTAAGCGTTCAGTCAATGTTAGACAATTTTTTTAATTTCTCTAGTTTGTCAGTAACATTACCTGAAATTCTGCCACTAGGGATTGTAGCATTTAGTTTCTAGAATTGTATTTTCAGACATCACACCTCAAGCTTCTCTCAGCTTTTAGCATCCTAGTGTGAGTTTGTTTATGAGATTTCATTTCACAGTACTGAATAGATTCAGGCACCCACTGGAGAGACAAACCAGGTGTCCATTTTTGTAGGGAAAGGCCAAGGAAGGAAGTGTCTAGTACTTCTTTCATTCAGTCATTTGCTCAGTGTGCAATGTGCTAGTTTCTAGGGTACCAGAGATAAAAATGGAGAGGAAATGAATGGCTCTCCAGCCAGGCAGTAGGAACAACATGAGCAAATGTGTAAGGGGAGAAAACTCAGTCCTTGGGTGGTAGTACCTGGTTATATATAATAATCTTGAAGGAAAATAAAGTAGTTTAGTATATAGTATTAATTTAACAGACTTCGCAAAGATCTTCACATTGAAGGCCACAAGGTGGCAATATTAGCTGGATTTCAACCAGTTTTTTATTATTAAGTATTGTTAATTGTGAGACTATTAATCTGATTTAAAAGGCTTATAGAATAAGACATTATTTATTACAATGTGTTCATTTTATATATAAAATGACCAGGATTTCTGATAGAGAAATGTAGAGTTTATTAACAGGACATAAAATGATTCAGTGCCTTTTATTAATTACTGAAATTATAACTGATTTTTAAGAATAAGTTGGCTGAACCATAATATCAAGATATATTTTTAAAATTAACCTAATGATGATTATTCAGCATAGTATATAATTTGTGGAGCTGAATTTTTTCCTTCTAGAAAGAAGGTACTACTTCAATCAATCAAGTCATAATATAAACTTGAAGGGTTAAAAATCTGGTAATAAACACCTACGGTTGGAACTCAGTAGTAAGGAACTTATCTAGCATCACGGGTAAGGCACTGGGTTTTATCTTCAGCGTTGCCCCCAAGAAATCTGTTTCTGTATTGTATGCACAGTTTATACATAAATGTGTATTTATGAATAATGTTTATTGGCCTAGGTTTGTTATTTTACTTTTTTGTGGTACTGGGATTTGAACTCAAGGCCTTGCATTTACTAAGCAGGTGTTCTACCACTTAAGCCACAACCTATAGCCCTTTTGCTTTGGTTATTTTTGAGATAGGTTATCGTGTTTATGCCTGTACTATAGTCCTCCTTTTTACACTTCCCACCCACGTAGCTGGAATGGCAGGCACATATCACCACAACCAGCTTTTTTATTTGTTGAGATGAGGTCTTAAGAACTTTTTGCCAGATCTGGCCTCAAACAGCAATCCTCTTGATCTTCATCTCCCAAGTACTAGTATTATAGGCGTGGGCCATGTGCCTGACTGATACTTTACTTCTGAGCAATTTCAAGCAAAAGTGAATTATAGTCCATGATCAAGAAAATTAAAGCTAGGGCTATGAATGAAAGGCAGGAATCAGATAGAAAATGTTTTAAACCAAGGGAATTATCAGAAGTCGACACTCTTCAAGATGTAAAAGAATGCAGAAGCTTTGTAGCCAGTACAACCCAGCAAAGTGGTCAGAACACAGGAATACATAGATATAAAAGGTAAGAGGCTCAGAAACCAGACCAGCAAGTCATAGGTAAACAGATATGTGGAAAAAGGAGACAATGAGGACTCAGTTTAAACAAAAGAAATATAAGGGAATGTTAGAATGTTTATCCAGGTTCTGAAGATGAGAGTAAGTAAGTTTACTTAAATTTAGTATGGCAATAATTGTGGCTGAACCAGGGCAGGTCCTGATCACACTCCTTTTTTGTTAATGTTTACCAATTTTCTAAACTAAGAATCTAGATATGTTTTCTCAAGGTTTCATTACAAATGCTCCTTGTGCCAGTGAATTCCTAGTGACATGAAAAGTGTTTAATATGTGTTATATGTTGAATGTTTAAAAAGTTTTTTTAAAATACCTAAAATTTGCTTTTCAGGAATCTGAAAACCGGCAAATAATGGAGCAACTCCGAAAAGCTAATGAAGATGCTGAAAACTGGGAAAATAAGGCCCGCCAAACAGAGGCCGATAACAATACCCTCAAACTGGAGCTTATCACGGCTGAAGCAGAGGGTAATAGGTTAAAAGAAAAAGTAGATGCTCTCAACAGAGAGGTGGAGCAAGTAAGTTTGGGGAAATGCGCTTATAATACACCCTGAATCACATTTCCGTAAGTTAAATATATAGGAAAGCAGTTAAATTATGGAAATATGCTGTGAGTTGTAGCCTGTTAATCATTCTTCTTATGTCCACCCTGGTTCTCCTCTAGTCTCTTATCTACACCATAACCAGAATAATCTTTAGCCCTTTATTAAAGTTGGGGATGATTTCACACATACAGAAAAAAGCAAAAAACGGTGGGATCGGGGGGTCGGGGTAGGGCTGAAGTGATAGAACACTTGCTTATGAAGCACGAGACACTGTCAAAAAAAGGATATAAAATAGATACATATGTCCCCTTCTCCCAGATGTAAGAAGGCTAACATTTTGACTTCCTACATCTTTGTTTAAAGAAGCAAAACATTACAGATACAACTTCCATGCTTTCCCTTCCTGCCTCCCTAATAGTCTGTGTAAACTTTTCATGCCAGTATGCCTAATTCTCCTTTACATGTGTTTATACTTTTTTAAAAATATCACCCACCAATGATGTGTGGGTTTTTTTTTGTTTCAAGTTTTTACTTCAGTGATAACATACAATAAATATCCATTTGCAACTTACCTTTTCTGCTCAATATTGTAAATTTGAAATTGATCTATTTTGTACACAGTGTTGTACTTCACTCAAACTGTGGCATGTATTAATTGCATACTTTCTTGTTCAAATCATTTCCATTTGAAGGAAATTTAGTTGTTCATTTTTGAAAAAAACTCCTTTTACATTTCTCTTTGTTATATTTCTAAGTTGTATCTGGAAGTGAATCACTGGACCTAATATATATGAGATTTCAACACTGCCAAATATTACCAGATTGCTTTCTAAAGTTTCACTTTTTCTCCAGAAACCATGATTTGCAATTTGCTCAAATATTAATCTGTATTTTATATTGTAAGACTTAAAATTTTTCTATACTTTTTGTGTTTCTTCAATTACAAATGAAATTGAGGATCTTTTCATGGTTCTTGGCCCCTCAGGATTCCTATTAGATGAGTTTCTCTTGGATGAATTTTTCTTAAACTTCACTCATTTTGGGCTGGGGGAGTGTCTTGAGCAGGCCTGCCTAGCATCTCCAAGGCCCTGAGTTCCACCAAAAAAATACTTCATCCATTCTCTTAAATTGCACCCATTTCTGTAAAATTGTTTATCTTTTTCATGTTGTATAATAGGAACTCTCTGTATATTCTTGATATAATACCTTTAAAGGTATAATAGTTAATTATCTTCTCCTTGTCTGTGGCTTGTCTTTTCACTTTACTTGCAACATAAAGACATGTTAAAGTCTGATGAGCTCAGAATTATTAATCTTTTCCTATATGGTTTATAGTTATATATCTAGAAATCCTTTATTGTCCCAAGGCCAGAAAAATACTTTCCTGTATTTTTATTTAAAAATTCTTGTCTAGAAGCTGGAAGGGATAGGAGGAGGGAAGATAGGGGAGAGTGGATAATTGGCACCAAAGTGCAGTTAGAGGAGAAGTAGTTCTAATGTGCCTTGACATAATAGAGTAACTGTAGTCTATAACAGTGAATACCTGCAGGAGAGTTTGAAGATTCTCAACACAGAAATGATAATGTCTGAGATGATGGAAATGTTAATTACCCTGGTTTAATCAGTACATATTATACACATGTATCAAATTAAAGTACTGTATCCCTTAAATACAAATATTAAATGCCAATTTTAAAAAGTTACTCTAAAAGTCTAACTGTGTAATTTTGCCCTTTGCATTTAGGTCTTTAATCACTTAAGATTGATTTTGTGAATAATTTGAAATAGAGATTTAACTTTGAATTTTGTGGATGGATATCCATCATCCTTTCTTCACTGAAGTATAAGTTTACTTATAAACATAAGTAAGCATACTATGTTTATATTTTATTTTACAACATAAAATTAGTTGTTCCAGACTGATGGTGTGGCTCAAGTGGTAGAGTGCCTGCTTTGCAAGTGTGAAGTCCTGGGTTCAAACTCCAATCCCACCAAAAAAAATGGTTTATTATAAATTATATTAGTGAGTCTGTCTGAGGAGACTGTAGGAGGCCAGAGAGAGAAAGGAAACGTTAGAGAATGAAAAATATCAAAAGAACACATCTATATATGAATATAATATAATGTACTGTACTGTAAGTCATTGAATATTAGGGGAGCTTGGTGATAGAGAATGAGTAAGTAATGGGGAGAGGGTTAATTTGATGAAGGCTTGATATAGTCAGGGTTGAAGTACGAAGGTGAAACCCCCTTAGACTATCATTATACACATTAAAAAAATGAAGGCAGTAAGAACTTTTATAAATGTCACAATGTACCCCCATTACAACAATAATGTGATAATAAAAATAAATTTAAAAAGAAGGGCAGGAGGATAAAATAGGTCTTTTCTGGGAATGGGTACCAGCAGGAGGTGAGTGGGCCCAAGGAAAGGGTAGATGAGGGGGAATGTGGTGGATGTATTTTGTATCCATATATGAAAATAGAAGAATGAAACCTGTTGAAATTGTTCTAAACAGTGAGGAGGGAGGAAGAAGGAGAATGATGAGGGGGTGAATTTAACTAAGATATATTGTAAGCACATATGTAAATATCACAAATATTACATGCTAATAAATTTTTTAAAAAGTTGTTCCCATATATTCTACTCCTATTTATCTGTTCTTTTAAAAATTATATACTCACATAGACATGGTAATTTTAAGTTAAGTCTCGATACCTAGGAGGATTAATGTCCCTCAAAATTATTTTGATTGTATTTGGCCCTTATTAAGCTCTCTCAAATGAATTTTAGAATAAATTAATCATATTCCATGATTTTATGTGCATTTATAACTAGAAATTTCTCCTTAACTGTTTCTTAAACTGCAGTTCACAAGTTTTGAGGTAATGCTTTCATTACTATTCAGTTTTAAATATTCCTAATTGCATTATGATTTTTTGATAACTGAACTTTTAAAAATGTCCAGCGTACAAGGGACTTTGAGGTTCTTGTTCTTTTTAAAAAATTTTGTTATATTTAATATTATTTGGTTTTTTTTTTCCTGTGGTACTGGGGATTGAACCCAGGGCCTCTTACATGGTAGGCAAGTATTCTATCACTTAAGCCATGCCCCCAGGCCTAGTATTATTTGTTGTGTAATATTTTGTTGTCTATTATTTCTAACATGATGATCAGATAAAATGGCTTATACTAATTCTTTAGTATCTGTTAAGACTTGCTTAGTGGCAGGGTACAGAATACTTGATAAAATTATACACGAGCTTAAGAAACATATGTTCTCACTTATTGTTAGGTACATACATGTGTTATATATATATACGTATGTACTAGATTAGGCTTAATAGCTTTAGTCAGTTCTTATAAATTCTTACTGAATTTGTCTTCCCTTTTTTTTTTATGTGTGCACTTGTGCATATGTGTATCCTCCAGCATTGATTTTCTTCTTATAAAGACACCAGTATTAAATCATGGGCCTGTACCCTGATGACCTTACCTATTCTTCCTCACTTTCCCAAGGTTTCACCCATGAACACCATGGTCAGATTAAGTTTCCACCTTTCCAATCCCTCACAATAGGGATTAAATACCAACAAACGATGTTTAAGCCATAGCTGGATGTCTTCCCTTTTTTTGAGGTGCTGGGAATTGAGCCCAGGACTTTGTGCATGAAAGGCAAGCATTCTATTGCTGAGCTACATCCCCAGTTCTAAATTTGTATTCTTTATATTTAAAATGCTGGAAGAGAAATATTAATATATTTTCCTATAATTGTGAATTTGCCTATTTTCCTTTGAATGATTTTCTCATTTTTTGATTTATTTTTGAGATTATTAGTTTCATAACAGTTCAGTGTTTTTATATATTTCTGATGAAAATATTCCTTTCACCATTGAGTAATAACTCACTTAAATAATAACATTTTGCTTCAAAGTGTACTTTTATATATTAATGTAACATCTAGTTTGCTTACTTTACATGAACTACTGGTAAATCTAATTTAAAATCAACTGTATTAAAGTATAATTTACATGAAATTTAAAAACTTATTTTAAGAATACAACTTAATGAGTTTTAAATTTTTTTATTTTATTTTATTATCATGCTTTTGTACATGGTGACATTTATAAAAGTGCTTACAATATGTCTTATTTAAGTTCATTTAATGAGTTTTGACAAATGAGTACACTTGTACATCACCACCACAGTCAAGATATAGAACAATTTTATCACCTTGCTAACATTCCTTCAGCATGCCTTTTTACAGTCATCCATCCAAATCCCTAGGCAACAACAGATTTGCTTTCTGTCACCATAATAAGTTTGCCTTTTCTATAATTTTATATAAATTGAATCACAAATTATATACATATTTGACTTCTTTCATTCAGCATTTTTGCAGTGCTAGGGCTTAAACCCAGAGACTTGCACATGCTAAGCAAGTGCTCTGCCCCTGAGCCACATCCCCAGCCCCAGCATGTTTTTGAAACTCATCCATGTTGCATGTTTGTGCATACCTTTTTATTGTTGAGTAGTACTCCATTGCGTCAGTATATCAGAATTTCGTGTTCACTTATTGGTGGGCATTTAAGTTATGTATTATTTTGTGAGGGCTGCCATAAAACACAGGCTGGGTGGTTTAGATAATAAGCCACTTTCTCTCAGTTCTGGACTTTGAAAGTCTAAGATCACGGTGCTAGAAATTTTCATATCTTCTGGCCCTCTCTGCTTATTCTGTAAACAACTGCCTTTTCCCTTGTGTTTTAGTTTTGGGTCACTAGGAATAAAGTTTCTCTGTACATTATGTTCAGTAGGGGAAAAATAGTCTGGGAGTAAAGCTCATTGTAGAGCACATGTTTAACATGCTCAAGGCCCTGAGTTTGAGTCCTCACACTCCCCAAAAATGACATAGTCATATTCTGCAAATTACTGGCAAAAGGATAAGCACACAAATAAGTGGAATAGAACTGAG